ACTAACTACAAGATATGCATGGTGTTGTGTTGGGTGAATATTTTGATTATTCTGCTGTGTGAACAGTGGAGATTTCAAAATGGTAGATGAAGAAGGAACCAATACTAATTGCACCTAATGGCACCTTATTAGTGATCTAGAACTGTCTGTATACCCCATTCTTTTCCGAAATTCTATCCTAGTTATATTTCACCTGATCTTGTCCAGCATTATACTTAAATTTTAACTATTGCATTTGGCCCAGCCATTTTAAATGTTTTTAAATGTTATTGTGTTATTGTTGATGTTTACTGCCTATTTTTGCTTTATTTTATTATTTTGTATTACTGCTGTTGTTGTTTTTTGCTGATGTACTGTGGGCTCGGCCTCATGTAAGCCACACTGAGTCCCTTGGGGAGATGGTAGCGGGGTATAAATATATTATTATTATTATTATTATTATTATTATTATTATTATACAGTAAGAGGAATGTGTTTTGCTCCCTTGAAAAGGGAATCTTTTAGCTTTCATAGTATCCAGCTCTGTACTTGGTCTTCTTAGAAAAAAGCAGCATACAAATTGACAAGTAAACATGATTTGGCTGCTTCTGTGGTTCCTATAATAATAATTATTAGAAAGTCCCCAGTTTTGCTTCAGAGGGCTAGTGTGGGTGCATAATACAGTTCTGATATCATCTCAGAGTGTCCATTCTGTTTGTTGTTGTTGAATCAATAGTTGAAATCCACAGATCAGAACATTTAGACTCTAGCAGTGCTATCTGTAAATGCAAACACTGTCAGTCTGTAGAACATTGCTTAATCTGACAGAAAAAAAATGTGTTTTCAGCACCAGAAAATAGGCTTAGTTCAGTGGTTCTCAACCTGTGGGTCCCCAGGTGTTTTCGCCTACAACGAGCAAGTTTACCAGTTGTTAGGATTTCTGGGTGTTGATGGCCAAAACATCTGGGGCCTCACAGGTTGAGAACCACTGACTTAGTTGGTCAGTTTAGCATGTTGTATGAATTTCTTTAAAATATTACAGTGAGCCTCCAGTATCTGCTGGGGTTCACTTTGAGGAACCCCATGGATGCCAATGTGCATCGATGCTCAATCCCATTACTGTATATTCAATAGCAAAATGGCAAACAAATCTACAGAGCCTGAGGATCTGTGAAATAATAGGAGGCTACAGTAGGATATGCTTACATGTCAGTATGGTGCTCAGCATGTGACAAAATCATGTGGGTTTTTGGGGAGGATTTTCCCCCTAATGTTTTTGACCTGCATTTGGTTGAAAGCAGAACCCGTGAATATGGAATATTGATTGTACTATCTACGTTTCATATCTAATGGACAATTCCCAGCATACTTTCATATTGTATCTTCTGTAAGCATTAAATACATTTTATATAGAAAAGGGTAATTCTCTTTAATAGCTATTTGCTCTTTTTTATTGTGTGTATTTCAGTGATGAAAATAACATAACACTTCCAACAGATTTCACCTTGTGTCCATATTCCTATGATAATTGAAATTCTCATTTTGGATACTATTCTTCTTGCTTATATACACACACACACACGACACCATAGATAGGTAGGAAGGTAGATGGATGGATGGATGGGGGCAAGAAATAAAAACACACATGCACACTGGGCAGTTGTGCTTGATTATTGAGTAGCAGCAGTAACTTAGTATCAGTGTATACTAAACAGTCTGAGGAGCCTCAACATGTTTTATTAACATGGCATTTGACAGCTGTTAACCGATGAAATAAGAGACCAGTATCCAATTTGACTAGAAAGAATACACTTGATCCTGCTCAGATCAAACCCCCATTACTCACTAAGCTCTGTATATTGAATTAGCAGGTTGGCAAAATGGGAATATGTTATGATCTAGGAGACCTTGTCGAGCTGAGAGATTTGTTTATAACCAACTGAGTTTTGCTGGAGTCTTATAAGGTATTGTGTGTATTTAAGAGGTACCGAATCATGTTGCTTCAGTCGGAACTGTATGGTGCATTAAAAGTATTTTGGTGCTTCAAATGAGATAAGTCACTTTCTTTAGCGAAAGTTGCTGAGCTCTCATCTGGACTGGGATTGCAGTAGTTTTCCTCCCCCCATTTTCCAGCCTAAAATAGTCACATAAAGCTTTCTTTTGCTCTGAAGATGCTGCTTTGAATAGTTTTAAATAGGAAGAAAAAGGAAAAAGACTTGATCTGGAACAGAGCACTCTTGTCAAGAGAGAAAGCCAATTACTCATTAGTTAAAATGTTTTAAATGCAATGTGTAGTTTGGCTCGTAATCACGTTGGTATTCTGACATTGCCCCATGACACGATGGCTTCATGTAACTAGCAAATAGAGGAGATGTGCTATATCCACTAAAGTCACAGCTGTTATCTGTTGGATAGTTTCCAGATCTCCTGGGATGGTTCCTAGCTTCTCTGTATGGTATTTTCACTTTATTCTAGATGGATTTTTTTTTAAAAAAAGTCCACCTGCATGATTTTAAATTCTTGTGAACTGCTCTAAGCAGGCCCGTAGCCAGGATTTCGATTTGGGGGGGGGGGGGGGGGGGGGGGGGTTGTTGGGGGGGGGGGGGGGGGGGCTGAGTCTGAGTGAAAGAGGGTCTCCCCTAGCAAACCTTTTGTATCGTTACCCCAATACCCCCATGCATATGGAATATATTGAGTATGGTGATCAGATCATGATATGAATAAACATAACAGTTTAAATAATGTACCAGTAAGGCCTTTTTGTGAACCATCATGAGAATTGGGGGGGGAGGGGGGCTGAAGCCCCTCAAGCCCCCCCCCCCCAGCTACATGCCTGGCTCTGTGTTATATGGCCCCTAGAAGTGTTCTTTCTCTTTATATATATGTTTGTGTGTGTGTGTATGAAATAAATTCAGATGAACGAGGTCATGGAAGAAATCTGTGCAAGTAAAAATCAGTCTATTTTGGATGGACAAATACTTTGTTTCAGTCATTAGCTTTGGTCCAAATTTGAGTGATCTGACAGCAGATTGTTATGTGCAGGTGCTTCAGTTGTTTATCTTGGAGTACACAAGCGTGATTCTTTTTCCCATACAAGGTGACTTGGTCTTTCCACTTTTACAATTGCTTGTTTTATTATAATAAGTAATTTGTTGATAGTGGCAGCCAATCTCTTTAAGAAGTTGAGTAAGGAGAGAGAAGTATTTTAGCGCACAGAAGCACCCAACTGGGCTCATGGTAGTAGTTTTCCAGCCAGTCAGTACAATAAATGTGGTCAAGAGTACAATTTTCAGTCTGGTTTAACATTCTCATTGGTATAACCTTCTATCCATCTCATCCGTGCAAACTAATTCCTTCCTTGTTTTCTTTATATCTAGATAATTAATCTAATGTATAATGCATTTTAAACTGTTTTATGACAGTTCAAAAAATAATAATGATGGCCTCAGTTCAGGAGATGTTCTTCTAGAATTTCAGAGCTTTAGCTAATAGATGAATTTCTCCATTATTTGAATTGACAAAACAGATCAATGACTACCATATTGCTTCAATGTGTCTGGAGCAGTTTCTCTTCTCATTCTGTTGACTAATACTGTTCACTTTTAATTTGAGCCCATGGACCTATTTCTGTACACTTCATTAATGTAATTTTGCATTCCTACTCCATGTCACTTCTCACCCCATAGGGGACTCAGAGTGGCTCACATATGTAGGCAGTGATTCGATACCATAAGAACATCTGTCAATAAAATAAACATATATATTAAAACAATCATTAAAAGCATATCAAACATTAAAAACCACTTAATTGAAACCATGCAGTCCAATATCGTAGTCCGTGGCCATTCCAGATTGTCATTGCACTATTTTATATTTTTTTATTACACTGGTAAATTAGTAACTTAATGTTTGTTCCCACATCCAAGTTTTTAGCTTTCTCCTGAAGGTCAGGAGGGAGGGGGCTGATCTAATTTCACTCAGGAGGGAGTTCCGTAGCTGAAGGGCCACCACTGAGAAGGCCCTGTTTCTCATCCCCATCAACCGCACCTGTGAGGGAGGCGGGACTGAGAGCAGGGCGTCTTCAGAAGATCTTAAAGTTCTAGCTGGCTTGTAGAGAGAGATACATTTGGACAGGTAAATTTATTCACCCTTCCCACCTCTGTGTACAGGATTGGCATGACCAGGATTCAATTCCCTGGCCATGGCAGCCTACTGAGTAACCTTGGACAAATCACAAACTCTTAGCTTCACAAAACCCCATGATAAGTTCAACAGATTTAGCATTAAATCAAAATAAGGCATACAAAAACAACAGTTCTCAACCCTGCCACTTTAATATTTCTCTTTGCATAATAACAGTTCTTTGAACCATTTAATGTCTGTATTCCATAGAGATTTCAACAGAGCTGCATTATAAAAAAAGCAAAAGCATTATAAAGCAAGTGAAATATAAATTCAGTACTTCTCTGTCCCCTTGATTGTGCTACTAAAGTGCATTTTTTCAGAGTGAAATCTTAATATGTTGTACAAGGAAGATGCAAAATGCTAGTAGCAGATAAGAATTGTCCTGTAATCATAGGTGTTGCAAGAGGTAATTGATGTTATGTGTAACGTTATCCCTTCCCTGTAGCAAAATGGTTACAGCTTAGATTAAAGATCCCATCTGTTGTGGCTTCTATTTCAGCTAAATAATGCATCTGAGTAAAGAATTTTATAGCAACTGATTTTGTTGTATGCTATAGCAGATATAACTTTGACTCTTATTATCAAATTGTTTACTGTATAATCCTTATGATAACTCAGTACTGGGCAACACAGTCTTTGGTAAAGCTTTTTCACACTTTATGAACTTTTGCTTTCAAAGTCTCTTATTGAAACAACTTTTTGTCTAATTAATTCCTAACTGTTATCTTAGCAATAGTTACTCATTAAGCATGATTCCAAAACCATAGCACTAAAATAAAAATGATCAGTGCTCTGTAAATTGTTGTTTGATATATTGTCCTTTCTTCTTTTTATAGGAAATACATGATTTATTAAAAGACTTCGAATTGAAGTACTGTTATGTTGACAAAAACAAAAGAACAGGTAAGATTCACCTTTCGATAAATTGTTAAACTACAGTATTCTAAAAAACAGGATTTCAGTGTGATCCGATGAAGTGAGGAAAAAGTGGACCCAGTCTGGGTCTTTTAACCCTCATTCATACTCTTTTTTTCCCCGTGTTAGGAGCAACTTGAGAAACTGCAAGTCGTTTCTGGTGTGAGAGAGTTGGCCGTCTGCAAGGGCGTTGCCCAGGGGATGCCCGGATGTTTTACCATCCTGTGGGAGAATTCTCTCATGTCCCTGCATGAGAAGCTGAAGCTGACAGGTGGGAGCTCATCCCGCTCCCTGGATTCGAACCACCGACCTTTTGGTCAGCAGGCCTGCCAGCAGAAGGGTTTAAGTCATTGCATCACCAGGGGTTCCATTCACACTTTGACAGTGATTTGGCTCTAGGTCTGAACCCATCTCCAGTCTTCAGAAGCAGTGTGTGGAAATTCTATTTTATTTTGAAGCAAATTCACTCTTGAACCTAAAAAAGTTAAATAATGAAAATAATGGAATTTGGATTATGTAATTTTATTTTCTATTTTATACCCAAAGTGAGTTAGCAAATTCTGCTCTCCATACACAGTCAATTCATCACACTCATGAGAGTTAGGGAAATAGGATGCCTATGAAAGCGGAAAAAACAGGGCAAGTCCCTTCGGGGAGGTGGTGGTGAACTACAAGAATAAAATTATTATTATTGTTATTATTATTATTAGTAGTAGGAGTAGGAGTAGTAGCCATGATACTTGCTGACACTTGTTCCTCCTGAAGCCTAAAGTTGTGCCCATCCCAATGCAGTCTCTGGCATTGGGATGGGCAAGGGCTTCTTTGGAGGGGCCGGGGGCAAACTCGTGAATAATCAAATCCATGGATGCTGGATCCACAAATATGTGTGTGGTGGGGAGGTGCGGGACAACTGTAATCAATGTTGACATCTAAGAACCCAGAAATAAAAATGACTTGTCAGCCTATGATACATAACCAGTTTGAAAATACATATGTTCATCCTTTGATGGCTTCAGTATCAAGTGATAGCTTGAATGTGTGACTCAGCCACTAAAGATGAGACTTGAAAGGCAGGCAGAGCTTTTATATCACTTACTGTCCTCTCAGAACCAGTACTGGAGGAAGTACTGCACGTGCTCAATTTCAGATAATGAAAGGTTTAAAAATAAACATCTCCTAGACTTTACATAATGAAAGATTTCCCCCTTCATGAAATCAGAAACATCAAGTACAAAGGCCAAAAATCTGATTTGAGCCAATTATGTATAGATTTGCTGAAAAAATGTTTGTGTTGAAATTACATTTGTTCCCATATTTTATGCTTTCCCCCCATAAATGTCCTACCAACTTCAACAGCTCATTAAAGAATGAGCATGAATCTTCTCCCCCCTCCCCCCTCTCTATATATATTATATATATAAAAAATGTGTGTGAGTGTGTGTGTGTGTATGTGAGAGAGAGAGAGAGAGTTTGGAGCCACTTGGATGTTATTCTGTTTTCTAATCCAAAGAGTTTTCTTTAAAATATATGTAAATGCTTCATAAATTATTACATAATAATATTCCTGATAAATGTATTCGGTTCTGCTAAAATGATTTGTGGGTTACAGTACTTAATTGCAGTGAGCTATCCTGATGCATTGCCAGTTTCTAGAAGTGGTCTTTTAAAACTTACATTCAGTAATAGCGGTCTAAAACAGTAATATGGAGTAATTATCTAGATCTCTTTATGAGTTTAATATACAGCAGTGACCAGTAAGAAGATGAGCTTCCCTTTCTTTCCTCTGCAGCTGCTGTACATCATGGGTTTGAGAGAGAAGAAATTGCTGTAATACAGGAATCTGCAGTTTAGTCCAAGATTATTTTGTTCAATTTTGGATAGTTTCCCTGTCAATGGTTGTTGTTTTTGTTGCTGTTGTGTACCTTCAAGTTGTTTCTGACTATGGCAACTCTGTCTCAAGGATTGTTTTCAGAGTGAGGGTTTTTGACTTGTCGAGGGAGTTTTTATAGCTCAGCAGGAATTCATATTTTGGTCTCTTAGAGTGCAACTACATGGCAAAATTAATGCAGTTGGTCATCACTTTCACTGCTACAGCCCAGTGCTGTAAAATAGTGGAAGCTATAGTTTTAAAAGGTGTTTATTTCACCTTCTTTACCAAAGAATGCTGGTACCTTACCAGACTACAAATCCCATGATCCCATAGTCTTGAGACATGGCAGTTAAAGTAGTAGCAAGCTGCATTAATTCTACAGTGTAGATCAGTGGTTCCCAGTCCGTGGTCCATGGACCACCAGTGGTTTGCAAGAACAAAAATATGGTCTGCAGCCTCACCATTACTACACCATTGCCTTGAAACCATGTGGCAACAAAAGCGACTGGTCTCACGAAACCCTCTTACAATGCTGAGGCAACGGGGATGTCAGGAGGGGAGAGGTTGACTACCCATGAAAGATTACTACTACCACATCAGCTCTTTGGCTTTTTGTGGGCGAGCAGATGGTGACTGTTGGATGGCCTATGTTCTGTATCAGAAACTAGAGCTGGTCTATCCAATGCAATTTTCTGAATCAGCACCCCAAATTACCAAACCGAATCTAAAGTTTATCAAAAGTTGCAAACTACTGGTGTTGATATACTGTAGTGTAACACTCAAATCACTGCCACACTGGCTCTCCTCCCAGTGCCAATCAATAAGGCACAGTCCACAATATTTACAAGCTTCCTTGATTCCATTAAGTGACTTTTGAAAACTCTCAGTGAAGGAAAGGAAAGATCCACTGTGGAAGTTTGCCCTTTGCATGTTCAGCTGTGGTCATTACCCAGAGAAATCCATCTTGATTGCCCTACTTTATAACCTTCTTTTCTCCATGCCTTGTGTCCCCTCAGACTCTAGTTAGGTTCTTGAAAAAGGGTGGATCTTCCCACAACCTTCTTTGTTTTGGCTATTGTGTGCTTAGTTTGGTTTCTGCTTGATTGGAGCATAATAGATCTGGACAAAAACAGCTTTTGGTGTTATAGTGTTGTAAATAGCTCCACACTTGCAAAGATGATGCGTGTTGCTAAGCTGCCTTCCGAGGTGAACCAAGCAGAAGCACCATTGCTTATGTGGGAATTTGATCCAAGGCCTGGTGGAAATTCTATGGCCTAAATACTATTGGTTAGTCCAGGCATAATTGTAGCCCCCTAGGTCCTCAAGCCCTCTTCATTTTTCCCTGTCCTCTAGGCAGAATGACACGGTGACCTACCATGCCAAAAACATGGAGGAGGAAGGCACGTAGCAGCTGATTGCCCTTGGAGCACTCTTAGCCACCCTGTGTCTCTCCTGGCTTGAAGAAGGCATACGGTGGCTGAGAGCTCCCCAGTGCCCTCTCAGCCACCTCCTGTCTTGCCCATCTTCCGGCATAAAGCCAAGAGGATAGCCTGAGGATCGGGGCAGTTGCTGCGTGTCCCTCCTTATTCTGGGAGGACAACCTGAGGATGATCCAGGAACTGCCCTGGCCCCTTCTGGGACCCGCGCTTTCACTCCCAGGCCCACCCCACCCAGTGTGTGCCCGGCTCCCCTCCCTCCTGGCCCGGGCCTCCCGGCCAGGCTCGCAATGCGGCCCCAAGGCAAAAAGTTTGCCCATGCCTGAATTAGTCCCAAGTAGAGTAGATTCATTGAATCAATTGCGGAATGGACCAAACACCCTTTGGTCCATGGGTGTTCTAAGTGGTATTTACAATAGTATTCAAGCTTAGAGCCAATTTCTTTTTGTATCTATATGTTTCCAATTTAATGGAACTCTACACATTCTTTGTGGTTTAATCAAGAATATTTCTTTATATTACTTTACTTCACTTTTACCATATAAAGTAATATATTTAGTGCAATCGAAGTGTCCTAGGGCTGCTAGAATACAATGTGAAATTGGGGCTGTAAACAGAGGTTATTCTAAGGAGATCATTTACTTTCACTTTTTTCAGTTGTAAATGTCAATTATACTTGAGGACATACTGCTTTTTTTATATTAAGATTTATCTATGTAAACACTGGACACAGTGTTATCCCTGAGAAACAAGTTATAATATGTGTAAGTTAACTTGGACGTTTCAGTACCTTCATTATCAAAAGTGCTGCTTTAGGCATCCCACTATTGTTGTTTAAGTCTGGCTGACAGTCATTGTGTTTCTCTCCTCTAGCATGTTATTTCTTTTATTTATAGGATCTATAGTGTACAATTATCACATATCCTGGTTGTTGATGAATATGATGGCTGAAATTTTTGAGTATATTTAATTGGTATTAATGATCTTAGCTATTGGTGAGTTAAACATGTTTTTTAAGTGACTTATGTTTATAATTTATTTAGTAAACCTTTTGGACTTGAAGATAGTGTAACCTCTGATTATTCAAGCTTGAAAGAAAACGTTAACATTCCCAATTCTCAGTGGTATCATATTGCCAGTCAATTCGACTTCTGCTGAAGTTTTGCTGTTCAGGAGAAAGAGATGATTAATAGGCAGTCTGGAATAAAAGATGTTTTCTGTTTCAAACTGTAATCTTGCAACCAGAGCTTCCTGGAATTGAATGTCAGGAAAAGGCTCTATTGAAATATGATATCTCAGCAATAACTTTAAAAGGCTGTGGTGTGCCAGGCATCACAGTTACTTCCCAGCCACATTATGGCAATTTTTAACAAAGAACCATGTCTTGTCGAAATGAAAACGTGCATCCCATTTTACTTTGGACTTTGTTTAACTTTATATGAGGGGTTTTTCCCCCCAATAGCGCTGTTAATAGCACTAGTAATAATGTTTAACGTTACCCCTTAAGTATTAGGCTTTGGACATAATTTTATTCTTAAAAATGAACATTGTTTATACTTTAATCATAGTGCGCCACTTTATAAAACTGGGACTTATTTTTGATCCGCTTAGTTTACTAGCACCTTTGATATAAGCCAGTGGTTCTCAATCTTCCTAATTCCGCAAGCCCTTAATACAGTTCCTTATATTGTGGTGACCCCCCAACCATGAATTAAGGAAATCACAAGCAATCGCATATCAGATTTACTTTCATATCTCCAATTATTTATATACTTTGGGGGGGGGGCATCATAAAAGTTACAACTTCTATTTTTTCACATGGTATTGTGACTTCCAAAATAGCACTGCTGCTGAAGGTGAATTGTAGTACAGAATATGTAAACAAGTTGCTTATTTTGTTGTCTTTCAGCTTTCGTTACTCTACTGAATGGAGAGCAAGCTCAGAACGCAATACAGCTGTTTCACCAACATACTCTTCGAGGGAAAGAAATATCAGTACAGCTTCAACCAACTGATGCTCTACTCTGCATTACTAATTTACCCACCTCCTATACATTACAAGAGTTTGAAGAGTTGGTCCGGCCCTATGGCAACATTGAGAGACATTTCTTGATTTACAGCGAAGTTACTGGCTATTCCAAAGGCTATGGCTTTGTGGAATACATGAAAAAGGATTCTGCCGCTAAAGCTAGGTTGGACCTTTTAGGAAAACAATTAGGTGGAAATGTCCTCTTTGCACAATGGATGGATGTTAACCAATTAACTCCAAAACTGATACATTCAAAGTGTCTATGTGTAGAAAACCTCCCTATAGACTGCACCGATTCAAACGATCTGGTGCAAACATTCTCAGCTAAACATAAGCTTGTCTTCTATCAGGTATGTATCTATTCGAAAGCCAAAGCTCCTTTTTTGGCATTTTTTATGGTTTGACAATATAGCCTGTATGTCTTTTCCTTTGTTTGGTTTCCCACTTTATATGTTCAGGCTAGTGAATGATTATGCCATGTTTGTGACATTCACAGCAACTGTATAAAACTTTTATTTGGTTTACCTGTGTTAGTCACCTGGAAATTACATAAAAGGACATCTGAGCATAGTTTACTTATCACAAACATTAACAAAATTGCTGTTTTGATACTTTTTCAAATTATTTTAAACAATCTCTTATTTATCTAGTCTCTCTCTGTCTTCCTCTCTCTCATATTCAGTAAAGCTCCTTTGTTGTTTATTTGTTCATTTGCTTCCGACTCTTCGGGACCTCATGGACCAGCCCACGCCAGAGCTCCCTGTTGGCCGTCACCACCCCCATCTCTTTCAGAGTCAAGCCAATCACTTCAAGGATACCATCCATCCACCTTGCCCTTGGTCAGCCCCTCTTCCTTTTTCCTTCCATTTCACCCAGCATCATTGCCTTCTCTAAGCTTTCCTGTCTTCTCATTATGTGGCCAAAGTACTTCATCTTTGCCTCTAAAGCTCCTGTATATCAAAATATTACATCGAAAGAAGACACTCAGAATAATTTAAGTGCAGAAATAATTGCTCCTGAAGGCAGCCTTCCAACTGAGAACACTTCTTGAATTTTTGGTAGTGAAACTCCACATGGGATCTTATGCCATACTAAATTTGCTAGACTTCAAATGTTTTTCTGAATTTTTACAGCAGTGAACTAATGTGGCTGTCCTTCTGGAAGATGGAAAAAGCAGAGAAGTGATCTCTGTTTTTGCATGGGCAAATATTAGATCATTTTAAAACTGTAGAATGGTCATTCTCATTGGAGATATGTTGGCGGTTCCACATTTCATCCCTTGCCATCTCTGCTTAAAAGGAATGTAGAGAGCAAAACTGAGAGGGTTTTCTTTGAAAGTCACATTACTGGACTAAATGGAGGAGGCTATTTTATATGTTCACACTACTTTCCAGTGTGTTTAGAATAGTGTTTCTCAACCTTCCTGAATGGTGTTGTTACCCCAGCCATAAAATTACTTTCATTGCTACTTCATAAATATAATTTTGCTACTGTTATGAATCGTAGGTAAATATCTGATATGCTGAATGGATTTTCATTTACTGGACCAAATTTGGTACAGATACTCAATACATCCAAATTTGAATACTGGACGTGTTGTGGGGGATTGATTTTGTCATTTGGGAGTTGTAGTTCCTGTGATTTAGACTTCATTTACAATCAAAGAACATTCTGAACTCCACCAACAATGGAATTGAATCAAAGTTGACACACAGAATTCCCATAACCATACTGGAAGGGTTTGGTGGGCATTGACCTTGAGTTTTGAAGTTGTAGTTCACCTATATCCAGAGAGCACTGTGTACAATAATGGGCCTGGACCAAACTTGGCACGAATATTCAGTATGCCCAAATGTGAACACGGGTGGTATTTGGGGAAAATAGACTCGTCATTTGGTAGTTGTAGTTGCTGGGATTTATAATTCACCTACAATCAAAGAACATTCTGAACCCCACCAACAATAGAATTGGGCCAAACTTCCCACACAGAACTTCCAATATGCCTGAAATATTATATGAAACTGCTTTATTTTGCTGTATTTTCCCATTACCTTATTGTTTAAATATATACATTCTGGCTGCTAGATATTATTTGCTAGCTAGGCACCTTCAATCCATTTTGATAGAATTTGCACAGGTGGGTTATACCTGTTTATGATGTTACATTGTTCCCGGATGATTCCATAGGACAATATGAACAGCTGCTGCATGTTTGTCAAAGGGCAAAAGCTATTGGCATGAAATAAGTCCTGATGAGTTTTCTGGTTCCTGTGGGGGTTATATGAGTAGATACAGAATTGTGTTAAATCTTCTTAAAATGGTCTGTAAAGAAAATGGTATGATACAATCACCTGGGAACCAGCAAACATCTGTACAAATGGAAGCAGCTTCAATTTATTTGCTGTCTTTGTTGCTAAAAGTGAATGACCATTCTACAGTTTGTCTCTAAACATTGTAGTGTGTGAAAATACAGTATCAGTATCTACATAATTATCACTTTTCCTTAGTGGTTTGACCAGGGCTTCTTAAACTTTTCCATTATAGACCTCGGGAATATAAGTAAATAAAGTAGATATAAAAACCAAACATAATAAATCAGCATTTTCAAGGCTTGCTAAATAGGCAGATTTTTGTCTTTATGAAGTCTAGCTGAAGCATCTTCTGAAGAGCCCACTTTGAACACTGCACAACAGATTCATGAAATGTCTAAACCACCCATTAGGTGATGCATAGAAAAAAGTTTCAGTACCCCAACATTGAGCTAAGGGAACCCCATTTGGGGTCAGGACCCACAATTTAAGAATTAGACAATTATATCAAACTGATGCTACTCCCGTAGTTCTTCAGGAATACTCCTGTAACACTAACACCCCTCCTACACTGTCCTTATATCCCAGAATCTGATTCCAGATTAATAGGTAAAGGTTTCCTCTTGACATTAGAATTAATTGTTTCTGACTCTGGGGGATGGTGCTCATCTCAGTTTCTAAGCCGAAGAGCCATCGTCGTCCATAGACACCTCCAAGGTCATGTGGCCAGCATGACTGCATGGAGCACTGTGACCTATTAATCTATTCACATTTGCATGTTTTTGAACTGCTAGGTTGGCAGAAGTTGGAGCTAACAACAGGAGTTCACCCTCCTCCCCAGATTTGAACCGCTGACCTTTTGGTCAGCAAGTTCATCAGCTCAGATTCTGGGATAAAGGGGCAATGTGGAAGGTCTCTTACTGATCGAGAAGGGTGTTTGTATCAAATCTCTTTCTTCAGTAGAACTTTTGATTTATGTGCTTTTGCTCTTTTTTAGTAACTGGGTCTTGACATCTGAAATGCAAAAGGTGTTTGTAGATCAAGTGTGTAAAACTTAGCTTCTGGTATATGTTGGCTATAGAGGTTGCAAGAGAAGCTATAAACTATCCTTGACATGGGTGGAAAGGGAATAGCTTCCTGTATCTCAGCTAAAGGCTGGGCTGCGAAGACTAATCAACTAGAATTTCACGGAGTTTCACATATATCCCATCTGCTATTTATCACATGATTTGGAAGGGGCAGGGAGGTGTCATCAGTAAAGTGGTGTTTCAAAATAATTAGCATTCTTCAGGAACAAATATCAAGAAAAATCTTTCCCAAGATTAATAACTAATTCCTATTTTAATTCTATCTCTTTACGCTCCATAAAATAACTGTCAAATTTATTTCATAGCTTTGGTTCTTCATGAGATTACATTGCCGGGCAAGAGTAATTCAAGTACAGCCGCATGACTGTCATCTGAAAAATGTTTGGGTATTAAATTTAGCTTAATGGGGGGAGTGATTTGCAATGTTAACTTGCTTTGTGGAATGTTAAATATTTTTCACAAGTAGTTCATATTTAGTGGGGTGGGATAATATAGTGGAGTTTCATACCAATCGTAGAAATTAGTACCATATCCACTGTATTATGAAATTTCCTTACAGCTTGCCCAGGAGGAAGATAGCTCTGTTGGTGGCTTTGCAGTCGTTGAGTATGAAACAGCAGAGCAGGCAGAGGAAGTCCAGCAAAGCACAGATGGTTTAACTATCAAAGGGAAGAGTGTGCATGTGTCATACTGTGCTCCTGGAGCCCCAGGACGCAGCACACTTGCGACACTTATAGCAGCACAGCGAATGGTAAGAGAGAATTTATGTCTCCAGAGGAGTTTGTTTGTGAAAAAGGAATGGATGCACTGCACACACAAAAATGATGATGGTGATGATTCTGATGGTGTTTGGGCAAGTACAGTAGAGTCTCGCTTATCCAACTTTCGCTCATACAACAGTCTGCCTCCCGCCCAGATCCACAGCTGTTTCAATGTATTTTGGTGCTAAATTCATAAATACAGTAATTACTACGTAATGTTAACGTGTTTTGAACTTATTTTCTGCCGATTTGTTGTAGAACATGATATTTTGGTGCTTAATTTGTAATATCATAATGACGTTTAACAGGTTTTTCCCTAATCCCTCCCTATTATCCAACATTTTCACTTATCCAACGTTCTGCTGGCCCGTTTATGTTGGATAAGCAAGACTCTACTGTAGTGAGAAAACCTGGCCCTCCACCTTCACAGGGATTAGGGATGCATGACTCGTGTGAGAGTGGAAAACATGCAAATAGAAAACATTATTTTTTATGTGAGAGAACATAAGGAATCTAGCTTTCTGTGATCAACATCTTCTGGAAATTGAGTATAGAGTTGTACTGGAGGAATCTAGAGATTTCTAAAGAGATAATAATAATCAGATTAGCAATTAATCAAACCCAGAAAAGTTAAACCTACAAATGTGGAGGGCCAACTGTAGATCTGTCATGCACATTGATTCTCAAATGATTCTCCAAATATACAAAACATTCCTGCAATTTGACCTAGTGGATTTGTTTTTTTCCTTAATATGTCCTACTTGGTGGATTAAGATGAGCTACTGTGGATGGATAGATATCCCGCTCTGTATCACAACTTGGGAAGAGGCATAAAAATGAATTCAATAAAAAGATTAAAACAGCTCAAAACAAAAACAAAAAAATAGACTAAAATATATTACATATATTAACAAATATTTTAACATGATAGTAAAAGTAAAGGTTTCCCCTGACATTAAGTCTAGTCGTGTCCAACTCTGAGGGATGGTGCTCATCTCAATTTCTAAGCCAAAGAGCTGACGTTGTCCAAGGTCATGTGGCCAGCATGACTATATGAAGTGCCTATTGATCTACTCACATTTGCATGTTTCCGAACTGTTCGGTTGGCAGAAGCTGGGGCTAACAGCAGGAGCTCACCCCACTCCCTGGATTCAAACCACCAATCTTTCAGTCAGCAAGTTCAGCAGTTTAACCCACTGCACCACCAGGAGACCCATGATAACATGATAGCTATGTATAAATATGTGAAAGGATGCCATAAGGAATATGGAGCAGGCTTGTTTTCTGCTGCCCTGGAAACTAGGACTCAGAGCAATGAATTCAAATTACAGGAAAGGAGATTCCATCTGAACATTAAGAAGAACATCCTGACTGTAAGAGCTGTTCAGCAGTGGGACTCTTTGTGGTGGAAGCTCCTTCTTTGGAACCTTTTAGACAGAGGTTATATGGCCCTCTGTCAGGGGTACTTTGATTGTTCTTTCCCTGCATGGTAGGGGTTGGAGTAGATAGTCTCTTCCAACTCTATTATTCTATTGTTCTAAGTTAGAAAAAGATTTAAAAGTCAATGTAGTTTAAATCCACATGCATAAACATTTTAGAGTGAGTCACGTAGGTCTCAAAGTTTAATGAACATCCATATCTTTACCTGGTTTATAAAGGATGCCAAAAGTGGTGCAAATGTGACCCAAAGGGGAGAATCCTCCACAACTGGGGAGTAATAGTAAAGAAGGCCTTCTTCCATGTTCTCATACTGTTTGTTGATCTTTCTAGTGCAGTGGTTCTCAACCTGTGGGTCCCCAAATGTTTTGGCCTTCAACTCCCAGAAATCCTAACAGCTGGTAAACTGGTTGAGAACCACTGGTTTAGTGGGACATAGAAGAGCCCTTCCCCAAGCAGATTTATCCCTTTATCAGGGATACCAGGGGAGAAGCACTCCCTCAAATATCAGAAGTTATATAAGATTCCAGGAATTGTATGACATTACAGTAATCTACCTGGGAGGTTACCAGTGCATGAACTACTGTGGCTAGGATTACCTGTATCCAGGAAAGGCTATAGTAGGTGCATCAGTCAAAGCTGGCACCAAGAACTCACAGAGTCCTCTTGGGTCTCTAGTGACAAAGATTGCCACTAAACTGTGCCCCTCCCCTTCAGGAAAGGAGCGACCTCCAAATTTCAGCTTATTGCCCCTAATTAAATCAGTTGTAGCATCCAGGCCCTGGTCCATCATTTGCACAATCCCAGTTTGACTCTGGTGGCTGGAAATCAAGCTGAGAGTCATCAGAATTTCAAATGACCTCCTAATGACTTCAACAGGCAACTTCATAGTTATATACTTTGTTCAAACCTTTATCTAGCTATTTAAAAACAAAAATAAGTTCTACTCTTGATGGAAGGATAATAGCCACAGCATAGGTGTAGTGACTAAAACTTTAATATTAGAGGAATAAGTGGTAGTACCTGTATTTTCCACCAGAACATTAGAAGGTTCTAGGTCAGTGATGGTGAAACTTTTCGAGAGATGAGTGCTCAAACTCGGAATGGGGGTTGGACACTGAGGGGAGCGGGACAGATAGGCAAGTGAGTGGACAAGCGGGGTGGGGTGGAGTGGGCAAGCAGGTAAGAGAGCAAGTGGATGATTGGGGGGTGGATGGGAGGGAGGCGGGTGAGCAAACAGGCAAGCAGGGGGACAGCCAAGTAGGCACAAGGCAGGATGATGAGTGAGCAGGGGGTGGGCAGTCGTATGCATGCCAGATGAGAAAGTGCTGCATGCATAGGTTTGCTATGAATGTTTCTAGATGATGTTCTGAATGTGTCCAGTCCCATATGTGACTTTTAAGATTGCTAACCAATACTGTATCAGAGGTATCAAACTTGTAGCCCTCCATATATTTGAGCCTCCAACTCCCAGAAGCCTTAGTCAGCTTGTTTAATGGCCAGGAATTCTGGGAGCTGAAGTCCAAAACAAATGGAGGGCCACAGTTTCATACCACTGCTCGTTGAAATATGCTAATTATAGAGAAGCCATAGGATATTACAGAATTAACTTTCTTATTTTCCTTAATCAAGATGAGGAACAACAGAAAGGGCTTGCTTCCAGAGCCAAATGCAGTGCAGATTATGAAAAGCTTAAACACCCCAGCAATGCTGCAGATGTTACTACAACCTCAATTACACGGAAGTCTTAACAAATTTGGTAAGCTTTTAAAATTCAAGTCCTATAAGGTGATATGGTGCCCCCCTAATTTGATCTCAGATCCAATTACAGGGCCAAAAAGTGATACATCTGTGCAAAAGATGCACAATCACACAACAATAAACATAGAGATGCAGACTCTTTGTAAAGGGCACACAACTGTCAGGCCTGTGAAAAATTGTCATTATGATATTATTAAATTATTTATATATCAAGTCATGTAAAGCTATTGGAAAAAGTTATTATGAGGGGGAAAATTTACTTTTTAGAAGTTCATTCTGTCTAAATGTATTTTTTCTTGACTTAAACAAGATAGTCTTCTAATAAATATGTATTCTATTATCTTTTATAAAACAGTCCTTGGCGCTCCTGTGACTGTACCCCATGTTGTATCCCCATTCGCCCCAGCATTTGTACACTTGAATAAAGTTCATCAGGTATGTTTTTTACAAATTGATGTAAAATATATTGGTTAAGCAGTTTGAGTCAACATATGGTAAGAAGGGTGACCCTTGGATTCTTGGAAGCCCCATTGGGCCTGACAGAGTGGGGCAAAGCATGGGTGGGTGCCATCTTATTTGCAATCTTGCAGACTTCCTCTAGAGCAGGATAGTCCAACCCATTTTCATCGAGAGCCTTATATTTGCCTTCAAAGGGCCACTGAATCTTGCGATACACAGAGCCAATTATAATTTTTTTACATAGTGGTTTGTGCTCTGTAGTTTTTACATAGCTTTGATCCCCAAATGTTAATGGACAACAACATCCATAGCTTTGGGTTATCTGCCATGCAAACTGGGGATATTGGGCATTGCAACCTGACAGCACTTTTGGCTCTGAGGTTAGGGAAAGGTTAAATGACATTTTAAAGTCAGGCATCATACCCACAAGCTTTGTATCTAAATCCAAACCTCACTATCCTCACTAAACAAAACAAACTGGAGCCTTCCATGTGTTATTGCAGTGGCTCTCAACCTGTGGGTCCCCAGGTGTTTTGGCCTACAACTCCCAGAAATCCCAGGCAGTTTACCAGTTGTTAAGATTTCTGGGAGTTGAAGGCCAAAACCTCTGGGGACCCATAGGTTGAGAACCGCTGTATCATTGTATCACATCAGCTCATGATGTCTCATGAAGCATACAGGAATTGTAGTTCAGCATCTGGAGAGCCACATAAAATGACACGGAGGGCTGGATTTGGCCCATGTGCTTTGAATTTGACATGTGTTCCTTAGAAGTCCTCACATCTTTCTCAAGCTCTGAGAATGGGCAGGAAAACAAGCTAGTCAGAACAGCTTGGTTGACTAAACAGACTTGAGGCTGGGAGTGGAGCAGTGGCTTCTGGAGCATAAACACCACTCCTCGGTGCACCAGTGGTCAGCCAGCTTTGGGGCTGTTTATCCTCTTTTGTCTATGAGCGTTGGGGCTGGCTGAAATATTCTGGATTATGTTTTCAGTAATTTGACCCATCACCACTTTGTCAGGTTGGCCATGGGGCTGTTATGAGAAGACGCATATTCATAAAACCCAGTTCAAAGGGTTCCCCTAGGAAGTGTAGGCAGCCATGGTCATACCCTTGTGGGTTGCAGTGGGTGGTACTGCCTCACTCTCAGATGGCAGAGATTGCAAACAGTGGCTTCTGTCTCTAAAAGGAACCCATTCCAGGTCTACATCAGCTCACCTGGCAAGTAGGTCTAGAGAGATGCCTGATCCAGGCCAATGTTGGGCCTGGTTTCTTCAAGTGTAACCAATATGGCCTTTTCCATTCCAACCGAACCTTGTTGCTAGTTATGCTGTTCACTTGCAATCAAAGTAATACTTCAGTTATATTAACTTCTAAATTATTAATAATATATTGTTGGATCCATAATTCAAAAATAGTACTTGAATTATGTTGTTATGTGCTATTCTTTTATAGATCTGTCTTTCTGCATCACAAACTTTGCATCACATACTTTCAGAATGACTACATAGGTCTTGATATTCTTTATTAAGCAGTAAGAAATAAAACTTATCAAATTTTTAAAAAATTAGGTAGACATTTAAACTGTGACCTCATTTTAGCAGTCTAATCTTTAAAGATTATCAGTAAGATAGTCTTTTTTTCATCTATGTTAATAGGACATACTATTCTCAAACCTTAAGGATAACTAGGAAACTAGAACAAAGGTATCACATATATCTCTTTAAAGTTATTTTGAACAGTAAATTCATAAAACAGATTAAATCCTCTTTACTTCCCCCATAAAGCAGCCTAAATAAGGATAATAAGAGTTTCTCTGCTTTCCTAGGCTATGTTGAGGCTTGAAATTTTCCTCCCTAGATCAGAGGGGAGAAAATAGGTTATTTCTTCAAACGGACTCCTCATACGCTGATGTAGACCCCAATTAATTTTGTGGTGGTGGTAGTGTTATTTCTTTTCAGTTGTAAAAGATTACTGAGAGACAAATACTAGTGATTCTCTTATTATTCTCTTGGTATCTGTTTTTAGTGTTATTGCCTCTCTGATCTTGCCGACTGTATACCTTTTTGAAAAAATTAAAAGCAGAAAGACATACTTTTCATTCACTCACAGGAGAAAGTGAGTCATGCTGCACATAGAAGTTTGAACTGATCACGTTTGACTGTTGTCTTGGATTACATATTCCACAAATAAACAAGGTGGTGCTTTTCTTTGCAACAAAATCACATTCTGATTGGTCGTGGAAAAAGGATTATGATTTTAATTAATCTTTCAACTTGACCCAAAAACCTGATTTTGCCAGTTGTATAATCTGGGGGGGGGGGGGTAATTATACTTCAGTCTTGATACACCTGTTTCCTGCACCTTCCTTGGAAAATACTGTATTTCTGTACTAGGTAGCATTCTCAACTACATTCAAATGTTTGCTCCAGCTAGGCTGAATCCATTGAGACAATTGAACTTATATATAATACAATAGAAATACAATGGAAATGTAAAAAAAAAAAAAAAGGGGGGGGGGAGGCTGTTGGTGGACACCAGTATTTTTCCACCAACTGAGTGGGGGGAAAGGGCAGGTTATAAATTATTATTATTATTATTATTATTATTATTATTATTATTATTAAACCAGGAGTTGTTTCAATGTTGAACTACTACAACTCTGGAGACTAGGGTTCAAATCTCCTTTTAGCCATGGACATAAAGCAAAGTGATATGAAGGGACTTCCACCAGTCAAAAGTAAGAAAAGGGCCCTTATTGCAGATATGAAGGGAATTTGACATCTGTGTTTTCATTTGTAAGATGGCAGAATAAAGTCCATTTCATATGTAACACATGTAGCTTTTCCTTATCAGGGACCAATTCCTGGAAATGCATCCAGTTTGATGTTACAGAATCTCTCTCATCTACAACTGGCACAACTAACGAAGACTGAAAATATTCATACTAACACTGTGAGTTGAATAAATTAAACTGCCCATAGATGAGTCATAGTTATCCCAGAGGCAATAATTCTTTATAAACGAAAAAGTGGAAATGTCTTCTTCCTGAAAATGTAATATTATTTGATCTTCCATTCATATAAACAGTGTAAAGCAAATATCTTCCATCAAAGGCTGGGTAACAATTCAATAAGATGTTGTTTTAATAATCTACCACACTTCTGTGCTTCTTTGCAGAAACCTAGCTTACTTGGAGAGCCTCCAGCAGTTCTGCTTCAGACAATGCTAGGAATGGGGGCTGCGCCACAAGTAACTGCAGACATTGGGAGCCATGGAGAAGCACGCAATTGCAAGTGACATTTCATTTCCTATTATAGTAAAAGAAATTCCCCTTTAAAAAGACAACAACCTCTGGGCAATATATCTATAATTACGAAGGGCAGCACCTTTAGGAAATATGCTGTAGCCCAGTTCAGACAGCTAAATAAGAGGCAGGAGTGTTTAACAAAGGCAGATGACGGTTGTGTTGATGAGTTTGTTATGGGCATGTTGAATAACTGGCAAAAGGATAGCAACTCTGTTGTTAGATACAGTTAAATGATTTATGAAAAGAGGCAGCATTAGAGACAATGGCCCATTCGTTTTATAATATTCTGCTAATGGAAATTCTGACTGACTCAGCTTTTGACTATCCAAGAGGTGTCCTCATTTTACTTCTACCTTACCATCCTAACCTAGCCATTGGTTATGATACTCAGTAGTTTTTCAAACTTACGAAGATGCAAGTATGTTTGATAAAGTTATATACCAAATGAACGTAATTGCATGTTATGCTGATGTCGAATGTGTTACATAAAATCAAGCAAGAAAGCAGCAGGAGGAACAGGAAACTAATCTAAACAACAATGGAATGCCTAGCTGAGAAATTAATAGAATCACAAGGTCTGCAAGTTACAACAAAATACAAAATCTACAACATAGTGATACATGCCAATTGTAATCCACATGTTACTCTCCACTGGTTTCAACCACCAAATCCTTCCAATCTGGTGCATCATTGCTAAAAAACCTAAAATTAACCTAAGCATCATAACCAAGATCATGTTCAGTTTGGGTGAAGTGAGTCTCCCAGGTTCAAACCAAAACATTATTGGAAAAGGCACCTTGGGAATCCACCTGTGCATTTTTCTCTTCCTGTGGTGGCACACAAGTGTGATGCATGACTGATTGTCATGAAGCAGCTACAATCCCTTATTGCTGCGCTTCTACCATTCACAAGAAGTTGGATCTGAGCCTCTGATACATCATGGCCAACTAACACCTGGGGATTTTACTGCTGTAATGTAACATATGTTATGTAGTAGGACAGAGTTGGGAAGCATGACCCTCATTGATTTTATGATCATTTAGATCCCCTCTTTTAAAGTTAGAAGGAAGGGTAGATAGATAGAGATATTGTTATAGATAGATATAGATACATCCATGAGGCTGGTCCATGAGGTCGCAAAGTCGAAAATGACAGAATGAATAAACAACAAAATAGATTTATTTCACTTTTTTATGAATATGTAAACTGAAAATAAAAACATATTAATCTAAAATTAGAAGTCACAAGCCTTTGCCTTCTACATAGTCAAAATGTCTAACAAAGTAGAATAGATTTTGAAGGCTTGGAAAATTGTTTTCCTTGATATGTTGTTGTTTATTCATTCAGTCGCTTCCAACTCTTTGTGACCTTATGGACCAGCCCACACCAAAGCTCCCTGTCAACTGTCACCACCCCCAGCTTGATATGGGATGGTTTAATAGAAGAATATCCTGTTTAGAAATATAGATGGCTCAATTTCACATAACTCCCTTAAAATTAATTTCTTGTTAAGAATGAGGCAACTTCCTCTTTTTTTACCCAAAGTATTATTACTCTGTCCAGTGTAATAACAAGTGGCTTTATGCAGATTTATTTTGAAAAGCTTGTACATAAGTATTTTCATAGAATCATAGAATCCTAGAGCTGGAAGAGACCTCATGGGTCCAACCTTCTGCCAAGAAGCAGGAAAATCGCATTCAAAGCACCCCCAACAGATGGCCACTCTGCCTCTGTTCAAAAGGCTCCAAAGAAGGAACCTCCATTATCATGTGCAAAAGTTTACTATTTTTCATAGGCAGTTTTCTGTGTAAACAGTTTTTTAATTTAAGTTTTAACAATGAAAGGCAAAAGAGAGAGAAAGAAAAAAAAGACATATAACAAAACACCATACATGGCCATGTATGCAGCAGCAACTCTGTTGTGCTTTGAACCAATTTGCTGCTGTTACTTGCAGAATTCCAACACAAAATTGTATTCTTTTTGTAATTATTGTTGTTCTATGAAAACAGGCTGTTATGCAAATAAAACTTTGCTTGCTTTTAGGAAAAGCAGAAGGCCTAAGTGCCTGGTGGGGGGAGGTATTTCTGTTTTGTTGCAATTACTAAACAGGCTCCTCAGTGCTTTTCTTATAGCAGACACCATGAGCAGAGTATCCTGGTGATCCTCGCCAAATAGACCTTCTTTTTCCCATTTATGGTTTACGATACAGTATCAAATACGGCTCAAACACCGGTCGCAACAGGGATGGGCATGATGCCATTCTTCCCAAGTCAGCACGTGGCTGGCCAAGCGATGCCGAGGCCAAACAGCGCACAGGAGAAGCTGCCACCTGGAGTGGGGCTGACAGAAGGCACTGGCTCTGGATCACAGCCGTATCGGCCGAGCTTGACAAATGCCACTGCTGGAGGCCTGAGAGCGGGACATCTCACACCACAGAGCCAGCCAAAGAGCGTGGACTCTGCCCTGGGGGTGAGAAACAGCCTTTAACTATTGCAGTCCCATTTGTAATGCAGTCATTACACAAGAGACATTTTAAAAACTGATCCAAATTATTCTGGCTTTGGGGAGGTTGGGTGGGATTAGGGGGCATTTTAAGTGTATTTATTGTATTCTAATTCTGTTTCTACCACACTTTTACTATTTAATTGTTTTCTTAACTTTTGTATTGGACTTTTAAAATTGTCTAGTGTGGATTGTTAGCCCACTTGAGTCCCCACAGAGAGACAGGCAGGGTATAAATAAAGTTAATAATAATAATTCTGAACAAAGAAATAGAAGTATTAGTGCCTTTTGTTACAATGTCTAAAATAGAACCTACATGTGCCAGATGATATTATGCAGGCAGTCCCCAAATCACAGGCTGGATCTACACTGCCATTTAATGTAGTTTCTGAATGCAGATTAACTGCATTGAACTGGATTATATTTGTCTACACTGCCATATAATCCAGTTCAATGAAATTAATCTGCATTACTGCATTATATGACAGTGTAGATCCAGCCACAGACATCCGACTTACACCTGACTCCTAGTTACAAGCAGGGGTGAGACAAGAGGAAGTGAGAGGAAATCTACCCCTAGGGAGGGAAGTTTATTTTGTGATATGAGTATGTTTTGCATTTCTTTCTTTTCCCTGACACAAGTAAACATGGGCCTTCTCATATTCAGTGCAAAAGTAAATTACACAGTACTGGTGCAGGAATTACAAAACAGTTCTATTCATGTCTGCTGAAAAGTTCCTTGGGATTTACTCCCAAGTAAATAAGGAAAGCAGAGGTGGAGAAATCTGGCCCGCAGGTTTGTGGCTACGCTAAAGCACCTTTAAAGCCATCAGGTACTCCATGTTTACCAAATTTTGAGATCCCTCCCTGTTTGCTCCTGTACCTTCCAGGGTGCAGGGGGGCAAATTTTGCCATTTCTTTGGCATTATTTTTCCAGACCTGAAAGGAACTTCTATTCTACATAAAGGAAACAACTTGTCCCAAATACAGTGAAGTCAGCCAAAAACTGGCTTCAAAGAGGAAGTGGGAGTAGCTTTCTAACCCAATCGCCGAAACTTGCTTTCAGTGAATTCAAAGGAACTCTGTTGGCATGCAGGAAAGATATCAGTATGGTATTAAACTCTGCGTACCAGTCAGTGGTAGGGTGAAAATGGAATACATAAAACATATATGTATTTTACAGAATTCTTTGAAAAACCAGACCTCTCTGCTGGGAGATCCTCCCAAAGAAATCCACCTTAGTACAAATCCCTACTTGAACTTGGCCAGTGTGCTGCCGTCTGTGTGCCTTTCGGGTAAGTAGCGAGTCTTTTTTTTTTTTTCTTGGAAGAGAACGTGGGAAGGGGCCTCTAGGTGCACAAGCATTCACCACACTTTAAAGGACAGGGCAATAGTCAGGCAGGAAAATGTCACATTTTTTGAGAATGGGGCAAACAATGTTATCTCTATTTTAAGCTGGGTGAAAGTCCCCTTGCCATGTTGTCTGTCACCACACCTGCCTTTTCTAGTCTTGCTTTGTTGCTTTTGAGCTACAATTCTTGTGGAAGTAACCATGTACATTTATTTCTGCATTATTTTATTTTCGCATGGAATAAAAAGTTTTGTGTGCTGTTGTAATGATGTGGGTTTTTCCCCCTCTGGGTAGCCATGAGCAACAAGGCCAGTAATGCTAAGCAGCAAGCTGGACTTTCAAATACCTCCTTCGATACGGCAGCTGCTCCCGGAAGCACTTCGCAGCAAACGGTGGACAACTATTTCAGCTATTCGCCTCAATACGGAGATTACACACAGGTATGCGACTCACACATGACTTCACTGCAGCTGGCTCATGTGCTCTTTTGGAACATGATTTGGTTTAATTCAAATTAAGATTTAAAACAACAAGATTGAGACATCTCTAATCTCAATCCTTCTATATCAGACATGGGCAAACTTTGGCCTTCCATGTGTTTTGGACTTCAACTCCCACAATTCCTAACAGCCGGTAGGAAGTTTGCCCATGCCTGTTCTATATGTTAGGGTATGGAAGTGTAAAACTAAAAATAGGCCATAGCTTACTTAAACATACATTTGTTTTGGAAAGAAGATTATGTGTATTGTCCTGTTTTTATGATGTAAAAATAAATCAGGTGAAATTTGCTTTGCCTTTTGCAGGATTCTCTCCAGCAGTGGTATCAACAGTACGCACAGGCATATCATACCATTCAGTCTAGAGTAGGAGAATTAGAAAATGATGGCACAGAGGTGAGCTTTTTCTGTTATTTTTTCCCTAAATTATGCTTATATTATTGTTTCTTATTATTGTTCTCTTATACTAAGCACATTGCAAAGCCCAATTTTGAAAAACAACCAAAAACACATTACTTTTTGTTGAAACTTTCTAAATTTCTTTCAATGAGTATTTTTAGCAGAGGCAGATCACATTCTGAACAAACTTTGGCAAAAAAAAAAAATCAACAACCCATGATTGGTTTGCCTCAGGGTTGCCATAAGTTGGAGCACAAAGAATACACTGTAATGAAGCAATAACAGTTACTAACTATAGCTATACATTCTGCGAACGTCTTCATAAAGAATAAAGTAATAGGATTTTATAATCTTCACTGTTAATCATAAAACCTTCAAGTTCTTTGTGGAGATAATTTTGCGCATAGAAAACGTGTAAATTAAAATGATCTAAGCATTTGCCAAAAGGCATACTGTCAGTAATATATTTATGATAATTGTAAAACAGGCCTGAAAATCCTTAACTGGAAGATATAATACAAAGATATAGATATAGCTCCCTAAGCTAACCCCTCTCCCAAATTCATAAGCATGCATTTATGGGGTAAATAGTAGCTGTGTGCATTCGGGATTTACCTTGATATGTTTTGCGTCCCGGCTTTTGTGGGGGCCCCGAACCATTTTCTTCGGAGCCTCCTAAAATTGGGAGGTCAGATATTTATAATAATAACAATAATACTTTATTTATATTCCACCCTTCTTATCCCGAAGGGGACTCAGGGCAGATCACAGTATGCATACAAGGCAAACATTAAATGCCGTGTTTTTGGATGGGACAAAGACAGAACAGAAAGGAGGCATATTGTGTTGTGTTGACATCCAGTTGAACATCCAGCTTGTTGGTGCCTTTGGAATTTGCCAGCCACAACTAGCATCAGGACTTCCTCCTTTCTTTTGGTCACCAGCATTCTTTGATCTTTTTTCTTTATGGTATTGTAAAATACCTCCCCTGCATTAGTGGTATCTAATTTCTCTAATCACAGCTGCAAACTGTTTTTGAACTGTATAGGTAAACAGTGAGCAGGGCTGACAGTCGGGTGCTCATGCCGTTCCGGGGCTGCGAACTTGCAACCTTTTGGTTGGTAGACCTTATCCTTGCTGGTGATTTACTGGCTGTGCTAAAGCCCCAGCCCTCTTTTTGTTTACATTATTGGGGGAGAGGACTTCACCTGTAAGCTCAAAGTGCCTGGGCTTATGGGTGCAGGCTTTGGGCCTATGTACCCGGGCCTGGCAGGTCCTGCAGTCAAGTGCCTAATAAGGAGCGCTACTTACTCGGCACTCAGCTGCAGGCCCTCTGAGGCCCGGGTGTGTAGGCCCAAAGCCTGCACCCGTAGACCCAGGCACTTTGGGCCTACTGGTGCAGGCTTCCCTGCCTACGTGCCTGGTAGGGCCTGCAGCTGAGCACTAAGTAAGAAGGACTCCTTACTCGGTGCTTGGTTGCAGGCCCTGCCAGGCCCTGCCAGGCCCAGGCACATAGGCCCAAAGCGTTGGGGTGCCTTACTCAACGTTCAGCTTCAGGCCCCACGCAATCCATCCGAAAGGCAGGCCCACCTGCCTTTCGTATCGATTGCATTTTTGCTTCAGGAGGGGCCTTTCTGTTTCGTGCCATTTGAATGGACGGAACAAAATGGAAATAACACAAATGAAATGAATGGGACAAATTCCAGGCCATGACTAGTAAATAGATTCCCCTTCCATTCCAGCATTCTAAGAAATACTTAAGTCAGCCTCTTCCAAGTCAATTAGTTAGCCATCACCATTCCCTAGTTTTGGTGAGTCAAGCTGACGATTTGTAGAGGCCGCTTGGGATAATGGGTATAATACTATTGAGTTCAAGTTCCTCTTCCATCTTGGCCCAGCCACTGTATATAAGTTTTTGCTGACTCATTGGATAGTTATGAGAATGAAATTAGACTAATCAAATATGCTATTATGAATCACTTTAAAAATGCAGGATATACTGTATTTCTTCAGTTCTAAGACATACTTTTCCCTATGTAAACATCTCTAAAAATGGTGAGCATCCTAGAATCACAGGTGTATCTTATGTACTTTTGTTGGTGGTGGATTTGGTACTGAATTTAGGGTGTGTCTTAGAATCGTTGATGTCTTACAATTAAAGCAATACAGTATTTGTCGCAAATTATTTACACCTGAAAGAAAAACAAACAATGGAGAAAGTTGGTATAGGGCTTGACACATTCATATCTTTTAACAGCTTGACTGTTTTTGCCCAAATCACGCAAAGGAAAATCTAGGGAGCTTTTAATTGTGACCAGTCTCCTTCCCACATGGTACAGTTGTTGAATTCCCCCCCCCCCCATTTTTGCTGGCTCACAATGGCAAAAGACATGGGTATAAAACTCATTATTTGTTGCATATAGGAATCTGATGGGGCTGTTTATGGGGACTACAGTACCTACCTGCAGGTCATGCCTTCTTATTATGCTACCACTCAAGCATCCTTCCCTCCAGGCGTCTTGCCACTTACACCTCAAAATCCACTGAAGGTAAGAAAAACGGATCATGCCCCTCTGTTTCTGAGCCGCAGCCAGGCTTTTGGCATTAGGCCTTGCATAATTTAACCCATAAATGGGACTTTGCATACATACAGCTCTTCGTGTTTCTGTAGTACTAGGCATGATACGAGACACTGGAGCAAGTTGTGACAAATGTAATTGGTGTCATGAATGCAAATCTGACAGGAACCAATATTTTGAAAGACTGGCTGCTCCCCATAGTTTAGAAGTATCTATGCTAGGCATGGGCTAACTTCAGCCCTCCAGGTGTTTTGGACGTCAACTCCCACATTCTCTTAACAGTCTACTGCATTTTAGGACTCTGGCATTTTATGAACTATCTAACTGCTGCAGCTGGTTCGCTTATCCCCATCTGACTCTTTCTTATCCATGTGGTTCCCCACCCCCCTATTTGTATTGTCCCTGTTATTGTCGACCAGTGGAAGGGACAAGGGAGAAAGTGGGCTGGAGCCTGTGAACAACAATGAGGTGGGGAGGGGGGAGAAATGGAGGCAAGGGAGTTGGCAGGGACCAACAAACCAAACACTTAATGGAACAGATAATAAGACCTTGGTTTGGGATCGCGGCATGGAGGGGGGGAGGTGTTTCACTGGCCGAGGGGCCCCCATAGAGGTCGTGGTGG